CCCGTGTGTCGTGTCTTATTAAAGCTGCTCTCTGTGACTTCTCCTCCTGTGGGAATGACACCTGTCTCTGTGGAAAAGCCTACATTAAAGGGCCATGATCGGTGGTGCTGGATATTGTCTCATTTTTGTTGCTAAATATTTCATTAGCATAAAGGATTCATACAGAGAACAGCAGAAGGGAGAAGGCTTTGTGTGTTAGCGAACAGGGCATTTCTGAGTGGAGTTTCAATGTTCTCGCTGTGTCTGCGTAGGTTTCCTCCAGGTGCTCCGGTATTCCCTACCACAAAAAACATGCACAATTGGTCTGAATGTAATGAGGTAATGGAGGGTGTTTGGTCGGAGGCTTTGATGGACCAGTGTGTTCAGGTCGGGCTTCATCACCGTGTGGAGAGAAGGGAACAATATCTGAACATTTGGGTCTGTATAATGCACTATATAAATAAATAATACATAAATAGCTTAGCGTGGATGGTACCCTGCATGTTATTGCCTCTTGTTGCCAACGATATTTAAATGTGGCTGAACCTGCTTTTCAAAGCCCGATGTTGTCAGACCTCAGACCTGATAGAAGCTAAGCAGTGTAGGGTCTGGTTCATGCTTGGATGGGAGACAGCTGGGATCATCAGGGGCTGAGGCTGAGTGTGTCGTGTGTTTGTTAGTATGAATCTGGGGCGTGATGGTCCGCTGTGACCGCCCACAGGGGGCGCTGTGGTACTGCAGACTATTTACACGGTACCTAGAAACATGTCCATAGAACTCAATGTAAACTATAACAGCTCGACCTCAGCTGACAGAGAACCTGACAGAGAACCTGACAGAGAACCTGACAGAGAACCTACAGAGAACCTGACAGAGAACCTGACAGAGAACCTACAGAGAACCTGACAGAGAACCTACAGAGAACCTACAGAGAACCTGACAGAGAACCTACAGAGAACCTGACAGAGAACCTGACAGAGAACCTACAGAGAACCTGACAGAGAACCTACAGAGAACCTGACAGAGAACCTACAGAGAACCTACAGAGAACCTGACAGAGAACCTGACAGAGAACCTGACCTGGAACCTACAGAGAACCTGACAGAGAACCTGACAGAGAACCTGACAGAGAACCTGACAGAGAACCTGACAGAGAACCTGACAGAGAACCTGACAGAGAACCTGACAGAGAACCTGACAGAGAACTTGACTAAGAACCTGACAGAGAACCTGACAGAGAACCTGACAGAGAACCTGACAGAGAACCTGACAGAGAACCTACAGAGAACCTGACAGAGAACCTGACAGAGAACCTGACAGAGACCCTGACCTGGAACCTACAGAGAACCTGACAGAGAACCTGACAGAGAACCTGACAGAGAACCTGACAGAGACCCTGACCTGGAACCTACAGAGAACCTGACAGAGAACCTACAGAGAACCTGACAGAGAACCTGACAGAGAACCTGACAGAGAACCTGACAGAGAACCTGACAGAGAACCTACAGAGAACCTGACAGAGAACCTGACAGAGAACCTGACAGAGACCCTGACCTGGAACCTACAGAGAACCTGACAGAGAACCTGACAGAGAACCTGACAGAGAACCTGACAGAGACCCTGACCTGGAACCTACAGAGAACCTGACAGAGAACCTACAGAGAACCTGACAGAGAACCTGACAGAGAACCTGACAGAGAACCTGACAGAGAACCTACAGAGAACCTGACAGAGAACCTACAGAGAACCTGACAGAGAACCTGACAGAGAACCTACAGAGAACCTGACAGAGAACCTGACAGAGAACCTGACAGAGAACCTACAGAGAACCTGACAGAGAACCTGACAGAGAACCTGACAGAGAACCTGACAGAGAACCTACAGAGAACCTGACAGAGAACCTACAGAGAACCTGACAGAGAACCTGACAGAGACCCTGACCTGGAACCTACAGAGAACCTGACAGAGAACCTACAGAGAACCTGACAGAGAACCTGACAGAGAACCTGACAGAGAACCTACAGAGAACCTGACAGAGAACCTACAGAGAACCTGACAGAGAACCTGACAGAGAACCTGACAGAGAACCTGACAGAGAACCTACAGAGAACCTGACAGAGAACCTGACAGAGAACCTACAGAGAACCTGACAGAGAACCTGACAGAGAACCTGACAGAGAACCTGACAGAGAACCTACAGAGAACCTACAGAGAACCTGACAGAGAACCTGACAGAGAACCTGACAGAGAACCTACAGAGAACCTGACAGAGAACCTGACAGAGAACCTGACAGAGAACCTACAGAGAACCTGACAGAGAACCTGACAGAGAACCTGACAGAGAACCTACAGAGAACCTGACAGAGAACCTGACAGAGAACCTGACAGAGAACCTGACAGAGAACCTGACAGAGAACGTGACAGAGAACCTGACAGAGAACCTACAGAGAACCTGACAGAGAACCTGACAGAGAACCTGACAGAGAACCTACAGAGAACCTGACAGAGACCCTGACCTGGAACCTACAGAGAACCTGACAGAGAACCTACAGAGAACCTGACAGAGAACCTGACAGAGAACCTGACAGAGAACCTGACAGAGACCCTGACCTGGAACCTACAGAGAACCTGACAGAGAACCTACAGAGAACCTGACAGAGAACCTGACAGAGAACCTGACAGAGAACCTACAGAGAACCTACAGAGAACCTACAGAGAACCTGACAGAGAACCTGACAGAGAACCTGACAGAGAACCTACAGAGAACCTGACAGAGAACCTGACAGAGAACCTGACAGAGAACCTACAGAGAACCTACAGAGAACCTACAGAGAACCTGACAGAGAACCTGACAGAGAACCTGACAGAGAACCTGACAGAGAACCTACAGAGAACCTGACAGAGAACCTGACAGAGAACCTGACAGAGAACCTGACAGAGAACCTGACAGAGAACCTGACAGAGACCCTGACCTGGAACCTACAGAGAACCTGACAGAGAACCTACAGAGAACCTGACAGAGAACCTAACAGAGAACCTAACAGAGAACCTGACAGAGAACCTGACAGAGACCCTGACCTGGAACCTACAGAGAACCTGACAGAGAACCTACAGAGAACCTGACAGAGAACCTGACAGAGAACCTACAGAGAACCTACAGAGAACCTACAGAGAACCTGACAGAGAACCTGACAGAGAACCTGACAGAGAACCTACAGAGAACCTGACAGAGAACCTGACAGAGAACCTGACAGAGAACCTACAGAGAACCTACAGAGAACCTACAGAGAACCTGACAGAGAACCTGACAGAGAACCTGACAGAGAACCTGACAGAGAACCTACAGAGAACCTGACAGAGAACCTGACAGAGAACCTGACAGAGAACCTACAGAGAACCTGACAGAGAACCTACAGAGAACCTACAGAGAACCTGACAGAGAACCTGACAGAGAACCTGACAGAGACCCTGACCTGGAACCTACAGAGAACCTGACAGAGAACCTACAGAGAACCTGACAGAGAACCTGACAGAGAACCTGACAGAGAACCTACAGAGAACCTGACAGAGAACCTACAGCTTTCACAAAGGTTTTATTTTGTGGGGATTTTAGTGTCTCTTGTCGTCCTGAAATGTTTTTCTTCTTAAATTCTTCGGTTTTCTTTAAATCCACTTTAGTGAGAAACGCATTAGACTTATTAGATTTAAGCATGTTTATTGATTGAGCATGTTTGGCGCCCTAGGCCCGGGCGGGATGCTGTTGAGCACGGGCGCTTGCTCGCGTGCATGATCCCCAAAAGCGGGCCTGCGATTGGGATAGCAGGACGTACTGCGCGGGCCTGAGAGCAAGAGCGAGCTGAGAACATGCGCACGCGCGCATGTTCAGCCAGCCGCTGTAGCAGAGGAATCTTTGAGCGAACTGAGAACATGCGCGCACGCGCATGTTCAGCCAGCCGCAGCAGAGGAATCTTTGAGCGAACTGAGAACATGCGCGCACGCGCATGCTCAGCCAGCCGCAGCAGAGGAATCTTTGAGCGAACTGAGAACATGCGCGCACGCGCATGCTCAGCCAGCCGCAGCAGAGGAATCTTTGAGCGAACTGAGAGCATGCGCGCACGCGCATGCTCAGCCAGCCGCAGCAGAGGAATCTTTGAGCGAACTGAGAACATGCGCGCACGCGCATGTTCAGCCAGCCGCAGCAGAGGAATCTTTGAGCGAACTGAGAGCATGCGCGCACGCGCATGCTCAGCCAGCCGCAGCAGAGGAATCTTTGAGCGAACTGAGAACATGCGCGCACGCGCATGTTCTCAGCCAGCCGCAGCAGAGGAATCTTTGAGCGAACTGAGAACATGCGCGCACGCGCATGTTCAGCCAGCCGCAGCAGAGG